ATAGCCTCTGTTTATCTCTCTTAGAATTTCTAGATATTTAATTTAAAATTTATTAAATTATTAAAATTTGTTGAAATTGATCAGTTAGCTTAAATCTAAAATTGGTTATGTTAGCATTTTCTTCTTTGTTTTTGTAAGTTTTCATAAAAAAAATAACAGACTACATCATTGTAAATTCTTATGAATGCCTTCACTTTGATATCGAAACTAAAAATATATGGTAGATTTAATAATATTTTATTATAAGGAAAAACTGTATGTGTCTCTTTTTTTCTCTCTCTCTCTCTCTCTCTCTCTCTCTCTCTCTTTCTCTTCAAGCTATTGGAAAAACTAGCAAAATTTGAGAAAATTGAAAAAAAATTGAAAATCAAAAAAATATATATATTGAGAAGTTAAATATGAGTAACCCATATTCATGACTTTGGCAACTAAATGCAGTAGAGCCCTTCTCTGAGATTCTCATTAATTCTAGTAAGCATTCAATTTTACAAGTATTCATGCGCTGACTAAAAGTGGCATATAAACAAGTTGTGTTGCGTATAAAAAATGTAATTCCTGCACAGTCTCATTAAAATTTACTTAATTTCTCCTTGTATCTCTATAACTCTCTCTCTCTCTCTCACTCTCTCTCTCTCTCTCCCTCATTTAAGTTGCCTTGATTATGATATTTGTCTTCTTCCTTTACTCTCACTCTCTCTCTCTCTCTCTCTTTCTGCCCCCCTCTATCGCTCTATCTAAATCTGTATCTTTCTCTCCCTCTCTCCCTCTCTCTCACTCTCGTCTACCTTCTACTTGTATGTAGCAATAAGTTACAGTAATTGTGCTTATATGTGTAAATTTATGGCTAACTAAATATTTGCATATGAATAAGAATTAATGTATGTTTAGGCAATTAAGAAGTGGGCCATATCCGATTCCTGAACGTAAATAACAATCTGTATTGTTTTTTTTACAAAATGCCAAAATGCACAATCGATCTTACAACACAAAAAGCTCGATCAGCTGATGATCATCAACAGTTGTGGAATACCAACTGGCATTCCTAGCATTCGATCAATGAATGAATCTTTTGGCAGCCAGCTGTCAAGGAAAGTCAAAAGAAAAACGCCCGCTGAAAACTGTGTCAACTGAGGCGAATCCAAAGAACAGCAACGACCTCAGTGGAAGGTGCTTAAAGACATCGTCAACGGTCAGCAACCACTCGCTGAGCACCCACCTATATATATATCTGTATATGTACTATATAGAACACGATCTTACCATATATATATAAGTATATAGAGCACACACACACACACACACACATAGACGTGGTGTGTGCTTTTTTTATGCGCATATGCCTCATAAATAACGCGCCAACCATTACTTAGCCAAGTCTCGGGCGACGGCGACCAGGGTTGCCACGATCAGCAGGGGAGAGTTGTCGTGAGAATTGATGAGAGCACATTTCGGCCTGTTCTCGTACATATAGAGAATGGTATAGTATAGCTGTGCAGCATGGGGCTAGCGTTGCTGCGCCTTGGGCATTAGTATTAAGTCGGTCGAGGTACGTCCAGCACGTCGCACAGTTTCCGGTAGATACAGCACGATTTATCATATTATATACAGAGTACTAGTCTGCTAGTCTAGAGGCAAAATGGCTGAGCAAAAGAAGGCACCACTCTTGAAAAAGGAGGAGGATTATGTGAAGGCTCTGGAGGGGTAAGTGCACCGTGTACAATGCGACCGAGTCCACCAAATGGCTAACGCTGTGCGATCAGTTTCATTACGCCCGATAAGGATCAGGTTGTTCTGTTGCTGGATTATGATGGCACACTGGCGCCGCTTACCGAGGAGCTGTCCGTCATGCCCAAGGATACTGAGATCAATATCAAGAAATTGGCCGCCAACGAAAAGATCTTCATGGTTGTGTTCTCCGGCCGTGAGCTGAGCGAAATCAAGAACCATCTGAAATTCCCCAATGTTACCTATGCGGGCAATCACGGTCTGGAGGTTGAATATCCTTCCGGCAAGAAGTTCAAAATCGAAATGCCCGAAGAGCTGCTGGAGAAGCACAACAAGCTGGTCGCCGAACTGAGGGAAAAGGTAATCGAATCGAAATTCCAAAGTGCTTGAGAACAACAAAAATTTGTTTGAAATTTGTGTACGTCAGGTCGTTTGCTCCGGCGCCTGGGTGGAGGACAAGAAGATCTCGGTGACCTATCACTACAAGGGTGTCACCGACAAGCTGAAGGCCAAGCTGATTGCCGAGGCCAAGGGTCTGATCCAGTCCCATGGCTTCCAGCTGATCGAGACGCCCTACGCTCTGGAGGGCAAGCCGCGCGTCAACTGGGACAAAGGTTAGTCCAAACCACTAACAATATCCTATAATATATACATATATATATATATATAATAATAATAATCTTGGCCAACTGTTGCCGCCCATCTGCTGTCGTCTGCGTCTGCGGCACCTGTTCGAAACAATTCGATTTTGAACGCGACGCTTCGATGATTTAATTATTGCTTTATTTTCTATAAAGCACGGACACAACATTTATTCATCCACCCAGGCGTGTGGGCGGCTGTTTTGCTCAGATATTCTAGAATATTTGAACACACAAAACCCAAAAGTATAAATTCAAATATATATCACAAAATTTATGTCGACAGTCGACGCAGCAGTCAGCGCATAAAAATGTTTCAAAATTGTTTTTCTCTCGCGCCTCTTGACAAACAGCCAGAGCGAAAACTGATGTCAAAAGCGCGCCACGATTATATATACATATATATATATCTATATCTAGATATATAGATGTATGCCTGATTTTATATATAAACATTTACTTGAATAATGATAAATTAACAAATTTCGTGCAATTTTTCATAGAAATTTTCGCTTTCATTTCAAGTATTTTATGAAACGAAAATTGTTTGCTTTCATTTTCCCCTTGGAGATGATGTTTTGTTCTATTTTAAAGATCCAAAAACGAAAAAAAAAAAACTATTTTTGTGGTCTACATACGCTTGTAATTATCACTATTTTTTTTTTTTTTTTTTTTTTTGTATTTCTTTATTTTCTTTTTTAGAGCTTAAGCTAAGCGCAACTAATTTGAAACATTTTTAGCAAATGATGCGTTGCTTGAGATATGTTAGCTGCATGAATATATATATATATATATATATATATGCATGTATATTTCGATCGAAAAACATAAGCTGAATATAGCGTGGGCATTTCGAATAGATCGGTTTCAGTTGTCTTGCTTAAGTTATAAAAATTCGCATGTATTGAGTTTTTTTTTTTATTTTTTATTTCCATTTATTTCAAACTTAAGACTTACGACTTATAGTGAATAGACAAACATTATATTTGAACTATTTCTAGTTACTTTTATATGTGAAAATGTTTCTAGATCTGGAATTTCTGTTTTTATACCCTCATAGATCACAAAAACAATTCCCACTGCAATTGACACAAAGTAGATTTCAGAAAAAAATAATAATAATAATAATAATAATAAATATATAAATAATAGAGCAATCTGGTCTAGCTGAAAGCAAATAAGACATTTCCAATGAGCCGCGACAAATGTGCATAATTCAAAAGACAAACAAATATATATCTATATATATAAATATGACAAATAAAAATTAATTATGATTGTGCCCGCCTTCGGGAGCAATAAATTTCGAGTGGACAACAAATATTGCAAAAGAGTAGAAAAATGAAAAAAACTACAAATCAGCAAGAAAATGTTTATAGACAGAGCAAAGCGATGCTCAGTTATTTATTTTCTTTTTCTAGCGTGAAAAATGAAAGCCTGCCAAGCGCATACTATGAAATGGCAACAAAAGATTCGAATTGTTGGTGCCGTCTGAAAAAAAGGCAAAAATGCAATATTTGGCTGGGGACGGGACGCAGGCACCACACGAATGCTAATGCGTCATCAATTAAACAAAAAATGTTGCGTTAATAGGTTGCAAAACAACAAAAACAAATAACGAACCAAACAACCAGAAGCTAGCATAATTCAAATAATCAAAAGGCAGCTCTACAGATCATACAGTTTAAATATATATATATATATATATATATATAGATATATATAGATATGTGCGCGTGTAGTTGAATGCTTTTTAAATGTGGTTTGCATACATTTACTTTTACAATTTGTTCACTCCACGCCCACGCAGACGCCTAAAAATAACGCCTAGTAGATACTGAACATATAGATATATATATATACACATAGATAAATCTCTGGCTCGTTTGCGCTGCAGGCGGTTATGGATTTATATATAGCAAGTGAACTATTCAAAATATTAAAAAAAAAAAGAAGAAACTTGTTGTTTGCAGCACTTTTGATTTGCATAAATTATCAAGAGATTAGATTCTCCAGAAACGGAAAATTTTAATAAAAATATTTAAAAAGAATATTACCTCATGTTAAAATCGCTTTAACAGTAACCGAAACTTTAGCTGCAACTCTAACATTACTTACACAGAGATGTTTAAAGAAAAGATTATGCTTAACATTAAATGTTAATGTTATGCAAATGCTGTAACACTCACTAACAGCTGCAAAGAGTATTTCAAAATGTTAACCACAAATGTTAAGCCAATGACCATATAATAAAACCACTATTATTTGCAGGAGAGGGCGCCAAGATGATTCTGGAGAAGCACTTCGATGCCGACTGGGCCAAGAATTTGAAAATCATTTATGTGGGCGATGATACCACCGACGAGGATGCCATTAAGGTGCTGCATGGCATTGGCAAGACGTTCCGTGTCTCGGAGCTGCCAACGCTGAAGACCTATGCCAACTATCAGATCAAGACCGTCGAGGAGGTTGGCTGGCTGCTGAAAGCCGTTCAGGCCTTCTACGAGAAGAAGAAGAAGGTCTAAGCGTTGCGGCTAGCTGTAGCTTAAGCTAATTCCACACTCACACACACGCACACGCACACACACACAAACATTATTAGTTCTTGTCTTACAAAAAAAAAAAAATACAATATTTATTTAACATTATTTTGTACGTATGTAATTTTTACAGATACAATCGCTCGTCGCAAAAAAAAAATATTGTTTCATAAAATGTTGTCTGTCCACGATTCGCAATAAAACTTTTACATACTTTAATAACTATTTTGCTTTCAAGCTATTAGCCGTCCAATGCGGCTGCTGACCACCTGTCCCACCTGTGGCTGTCGTCGCTTCATCTGCGCTCCGCTTTGAGTGTGCCAGCCCGTGCTGTGCCGGCACGACCGCCGCGTGCCGCTTGCTTGACGATTGTGGGCGGCACCACCACTGCGGGCGTTGTGATCACTGGTGGCTGCACGGCACCGGCTACCACGCCCACGGGAGTCACGACGGGCGTCGGCACAGCAACCATGCCAGCTTGTGGCGCAGGTGACTGCGGATCGCCACGTTTGGGCTCGCTCATGTTGAGCGCCTCGTTGAATATCATGCAGAATTCGCCGATCTTGAAGACCTCGCCATTCTTGCCGGAATACAGCGTGAGACAATGGCGCCAAATGGACGCATAGCCCTTGGTCAGTCTTATGATATCGCCCGGAGCTATCAGCTTGCCCGGCTCATCCCAAATGGACACATTAATACTGGCTGTGGGATCGCCCACTTTAAAGTTGCGCACCTCGCGGTTCTCTTTGGTCACCGTCGCCACGCCCACCTGGTAAGAAAAGCATATACATATTTATAAACATAAACATAAAACACAACTTCTTGCCCTTGCAGTTATTTGATTATCGATAACATTTGCAGACCTCAAGTACTATGAAAATGACATTAATGTTCTTCAGTCCGGGCTTGATATCCTTTATAGCTATGCATTCTGCGTTGTACATGGTAGTTGCCAAATGTGTATAGTTTAATGCTTAAAATGCTTTAAGATAATTTGTTTATTTTATTTATGCGTTTCAAAAGGACGCCAAATTTGAGTGCACAAATGCCGCAGACAACAAGCGCAGCAAAACAGCTGTGCAGCAATTAGAGATGGGCAATACTGAGATAACTGTTACTTGTAACGATTGTTGTTGTAGTCGCGCACAGCTGACACAAAATGAGCATTGCGTCACAATTTCTACATAACTACAGCTTAAGATATATTTCATTGTCTGAAATAACAATAATTTCTTGTTCATATCGCATTTTATATGACGTAATAGGCCTCTTTCCTATCGATACACAGATAAAAGGAATTAGAATTGCGGAATTCGTGCGTTACCTTCTAAATTTATTGCAACCTGACTCAGCTGTGAGCGGTAAATGCCACTGCGAACTAGTTCAGTGCTGAGCGGAACAACTGAATTGTTCATTCTGGTGCAAAAATAACACAAACATAAATTTTGCAAATTTATTCATAGAATCTTAACAAATAAATACGCAAATTGAGCGCGTTGCTTTTGTTGTTTGCAAAAGCATTTTGTTGCTGCAGAGAAGAGCACAATTGCCGCACTACAAGCGGCTGTAAAACACCTCTATCTACGTTTTGTTTATCAACATGGAAACTGGCAGCAGCTCGAGCTCCACGTCGGGCAGCACTTCGTCGAGTGGCTCTTCCAGCTGCACGGATACGGGCAGCTCCTCGGACACCGATTCGAGCAGCTCTGGCGTTGCCGGCCCAGAGGAAAAACCGCAGCCGCCAAAAACACAACCAAGCGCAGTACGTCGCAAGGCGGCAGCAACGCCAGCCGACAATGAGAAGCCAAAAGCCGCAGGCAATAGCAACAGCAATGCGTTGACGTCGGCCGCCAGCAAGGTGCGTTCCGTTGTGGCGGCCAGCAATCAGCGCAACGGTGGCATGTCCAGCGACGACGATGACGACGACGACGACGATGCGCCGCCGGCCAAAAAGAATGCGCGCACAATGAACAACGCGGTGCCAGCAGCCGCTGCTCGACGGAAGCCATCAACAGGAGCGGCGACGACCAAGCAAGCGGCGGGCGGAGCAGCTGGCGGCAGCAAAGTGCCGCTGCCGGCCAAAGGCAATAGCCAGCCGCAGCGCAATGGCGACAATAAACGACCCTCGCTCAGCTCCTCCTCCAACAGCACAGATGACTCGCACAAGGATGTCAAGAACGGACGCAAGGTGCCGCTTAAGCTGGCCAGCACCGCGACGGCTGTGCGGGCCAAGCAAATGCGCGCCAAAGCGCTGCAGGCCAAAACGAACAGCAGCAACAACAACAAGAATGGACCTGCTGCTGTGCGGCGCGAGAAGAGTCGCAGCAGCGAATGCAGCGATGATTCGGACAGTGGGTCCGGCTCGGAGACCAGCTCCATTAGCGAATCGGAGGGTAGCGATTCGAGCAACTCGTATAGCTCACAGCCGGCGACGGGTAAGTCAAATCCCAAGGGTAAGCGTGTCGTTGGCGCGGGCGGCGACAGCGAGGAGGAGCGCAAGGATAAAGCGAATCCCATGCGCAAATTGACGCGCTCGCTGAGCATGCGCCGTTCCAAGCAGCAACAGCTCAAGCCGGGCAGCGAGACCGAAACGGATGCAGATCTCGAACAGGAGGACGACAAGCAGCGCGTCCTCTCCAAGAGTCCGGCCAAAAAGTCGGCCACAGCCGCCGGCCTGAACAGCAGCAACAGCAACAACAACAACAGCAAGTGCAAGGTGAAGAAGGAGATGACCTCGCTCAAGTCTCGGCCCGTCTCGCCCGCCGTGCAGCTGGAGAAGAAGTGCCCCATCGAGGGCTGCGATTCGTCGGGCCATTTGAGCGGCAATTTGGATCGACACTTTCTGCCCGAGGCGTGTCCCATTTACCACAACATGTCCGCCTCGGAGTGCAAGGAGCGCGCCAACGAACGCAAGCTGCGCAACGAGCAGCGCCTCAAGATGCCCATCAACATTGTCAGCACGCCGGGCAATCAGCAAAACAATCTCAAATCTCTGACGCCCGAGCAACGCGAGTTCTTGGCCAAAATACGCGAATCACGAGCCAGCTTTCGTCCCATGAGCAACAGTTTCCTAAATGATAAGGTGCGTAAGCCGTGTCCTTCCTTAAGCTTTGTACAATTAATTGTTATTAATATATGTATTTTCTTCGTTGCGCAGGTTAAGATAGACAAGGACTGCACGGATGAGGATCGTGAGCCGAATCTCGCGGGCCTGGTGCCCGACTACGATCTGCAGCTGTTTCGCGAAGCACAAGCACAGGCCTCCGAGCGCATCGAGGACGAGCTCAAGGATCTGCCCGTTGGCAAGGGCATCAAGTGCGTTGGCTAACTATCGATTCGCCTAATGCTCTATCTAACTGCATTTTCCATTTTCGACAGATACATCAGCATGGGCAAGTACAAAATGAAAGTGTGGTATCAGTCGCCGTATCCGGATGATGCCGCACGCCTGCCCAAGATGTACATCTGTGAGTTCTGTCTGCGCTATCAGAAATCGGAGACGGGCATCAAACGGCATGCCCAGAAATGCGTCTGGCGGCATCCGCCCGGCGATGAAATCTATCGCAAAGGCAAGCTTCAGGTGTGGCAAGTGGATGGCAAACGCTACAAACAATATTGCCAGCATCTCTGCCTGTTAGCCAAGTTCTTTCTGGACCACAAGACGCTCTACTATGACGTCGAGCCGTTTCTCTTCTATATCATGACCCTGGCCGATGTCGATGGCTGTCACATTGTCGGCTACTTCAGCAAGGTAAGCTACAGCTCAAGTATTTAAGAACTTATCACAGCAGTTAGTTAAGTTAATAACAGATTAGTTTAGCTAGTCAGCATGATTCGCGTGACATTTGTTGTTTAGGAAAATTAATGAAATTTGTAGATTTTTGATTTTGTCTGGAATATGTGGATATCTTATATATTTTGTCATGCTCGGACTTTACCCCGAGCTTAATATAATTAGTCCTCTTTACGGCATTTCTCAATATCACATAATTTCTTAAATGATTTTCCACATATATATGTTGTACCTTTTGTATACAGTTCAACGATTTGACAGATCTTTAAATCAATTTTATTTTGGATCGATTTAAACGATTTCAAGGCCAACAAAATAGTTGCTTGATAAAGTTGACTTTGGGTCCAGAACACGCATTGACGGACATGAAATGTAAAGTCTGATGCATGATTTGGAAATCGAGCTGTGTATAGAAATTGATTAGCTTTAAGCTATAATAATTGTTGAGCTGAGTAAATTGAGAATTCATTTTAAATAAGCACAATGACTCAAAAATTGATTACCATCGATTTTTAATTTGTGTTTTCTGAGCAAAACTCGGAGCAAGAAGCTTCCTATTGAGTATGCAGGTATTTCTATAGCAGAATAATATAGTTACCTTTGGCTACCACCCAACAAGTATTATTAATAACTAAATTGAGTAGCATTATTATGTCTATATATAAAACTGTTTGTCCTGATTGACTGAAATTTGCACTGTAGTTACCTTATGTTAGGAAGGTTCACGCTTAGACGGGATTTCGGGAAATTCCAATCGCATATGTTGAAAAATCGCGACAAAATGTTTTGAGAGAATTTATTTGATACGTCCCATAGGCAAGGCCGACATATACCCGCTAATAATATATAAATTCCTTTAGATTGTTCATTTTAGTTATTTTGCTGACCTTTATTTTTGACATTAACGTCAATCGTTAACTATTTAATTTAACCAAATCTTAAAGACTCTGCAAATGAATCCTCAACTGACTAGATTTTCTCTAGATACAATTAATAAGAAACGAATTGTTTTGGCTAACAAATTAATTCATGTAAATACTTTCAAATAACCTAAGATATTTGAGTATCAGATACTATTTCTTGGATTAATCCAAGCTATTCCATATCTGATCTCCATATCTCTATCTTATTAACTTGGCCCAGGAGTAATTATGTTTTTTTTTTATTGCTGGAAATGCCTAGAACTTTAGTTTGTTACTTGCCATCAAATTGAATAATACCATTTCACAGTTATATGATTCTTTTATGTGCACAGACAGAGCCGAGAGCCAGGCACAGCTCAGACAACAGCAGACACGACCCAGCCAAAGCCCAAGCCCAAGCCCAGGCCAGATCCAGGGCCAGAAACCATGTAATACATGGACGCGATAGACGTGCGACTATATGCCCAGACAGTCAGCATTCTTGACCATACCCAAAAATTGTTTTGTCAACCGCGAGGCGTTGGGCGAGCTGGGTTAGGTAGTAAATAAGCTGACACTATCAGAGGCGTGGCAGGCGGCAGACTGAACAAAGTGGAGATTTCCCCAGCAAAAAAAAAAAAAAACAAACGGCAGAAAAACAAAGTATATTGTCTGCCATGTGCGCACGGTTTCTTGACCTCCCCCTGAACATGGCGTCTAGCCCGGCGCTCTGGAGCTGCAGCTCCGGCTCTTACCTCCATGCCGCCCCCTGCTGCAATTGCATACAAGTTTTTTGGGCGCTGCCAGAGACTGGGTTTGTGTTACAAATTGCGCATGTCGCGCCCGGCTGCTGCGCACAGGCACAGGCACAGTCCCAAGCCCAGTCCCAGTGCCGGCGCAATCGGAGCCGGAGCCGGAGTCGGAGTCTGTATTCCATTCATCCCAAACCCGTAGCAACAGCAGCAGCAGCAGCTGGTTACACACTACTCACAATTTGGGTGTCTAGCTTACATGGCTCACACCCGGACGCGATGGCATGTTGATAATTTTTGGCAATGCTGCTTTGTGTAGTACCTTGGCCATGCCACCATGCGGCATCATACTGCGCAACTATGCCAATGGAGCTGGCACCAGACAGCAGCCAGACATGACGGATTGGGGCAGGCAGCCCGGCTGGGATGCTGCTGCTGTCGCTGCCGCAGCTGCTGTTGCTGTTGCTGCTGCTGCTGCTGCTGATGCTGGGGCGTGCACGATTGAGGTCGTGCACCTCGACGGTTTTTGCTCGTTATTTTGCGGCGGCTGCACGTCGTGCGCCTGCTCCAACTGGTTGGGGTGGCCGGGCCAAGCCCAGCAGCGCAGCGTATGTGCGTTCCCAGACATCATGGCAGACAACGCGGCAAACAAAGAATAAAAATTCAAAGTACATAAATGTATTTCCGAAATGCGAATTGTTGCCTTTTGGTTCACACCCAGCCGGCAGACAACGTCGCATTTTTTTTTTTTGGCAGCACCCGCCCCCGCCACCCGCAACAACCGCATCCGCAACCCATGATCCCGCCGTGCACAGATGCGAATCGCAGTCGCAATACTTGGTTCGTCTCTTTGTCTCGCCCGCTCTCCACAAGCGCGTATGTGCAAACCCCTTACGCTTATATACCATATACACCAGATTTCTATATACCCATATATACATATATATATATATATACATACATGTATACGTATGTATCTGTATTTACGCATCGCACGCTGCAGAGCATCGATTCAATTCGTGCGACGCCTGGTCATTGAACTCCCGAAAAAGCTAGAAGCGATAAATGACAAACCCCCAACCAGAACTGTCTGACACTCAGTCTACCAACGATTCTGTCTATATGTGCAGATTGTCTGTCCGGCAGATTGGCTTTTCTGTGTGAATGGCCTCAAGCATTTTCCTATTGATGAAATTCTCAAACTAATGTTAACCTGCGATAATTTAGAATTGTTTATGATAATCTTAAGATTGATGTGTAGCTAATTCTTCAATTGTTATAAATTCTAAAAAAAAAACTATATTGCTTTCAGCCCATGTTAAACCTTGAATAACATTTATATCGATTCTCAGCATATTCCATTCTTGCAGGAAAAAAACTCCTTTTATAACGTCTCGTGCATTCTAACCCTGCCGCCATATCAGCGTAAAGGCTACGGAAGGCTCCTCATCGATTTCAGTAAGTGCACGGCCCGTTTATCAATGGGTCAAATATATAACATAACCACAAATTACAATTATCAAATGCACATAACCTCAATTTGAGGTTAACATGCGCGCACATAACCTCAATGTTAAGCTTACAACTGGGCACACTTTTCTGAACTAATACCATTAACCAATGTCTGGGTTTATATGTATGTAGTATATATTTGAATGGAGTCCCTACTGTAACCCTCACATATCAGGCTTTCGATTTTCAACTGCAAATTATTTAATTTTGAGTGTTAACAAACTAAGTGCGTGCTCTTGTTTATTTTGACTAGAGGTTAAAACTGCAGGTTTGTCCAATCAACATTTCCACTTCTGAACCTCAATTGACAAAGGCAGAAAACTCGAATTTGCTATGCAACCAATTCTTTAATGTATCAGCTTAAAAGTTCTACAGAATTTTGAGAGCTTGACATAGGTTTTTCAAAATTCAACTTTTTATTAGACTTTTGTATACTTTAGATAATTGATAGGCATTGGTATTCGTGAGGAAGATGAATTTTCTAAGCTATTTTGGGTATTGTTTTGGATTTCCTTCAAATGGTTTTCAAATCTAAACAATTTCAAATCACATCAACTAATTGAAAATCTTTATATTTATATAATACTCATTTTACTCCTTTAATTAACATTGATTCGAATCAATTTTAAATGACTCAAAACTTTATTATTACTATAACTATTTAAGTCAATATATATATATAGATATATATTTCTTTTTTGGTTATACTGATAATTATTTGAGTTATTATAAATAGCAATTTTTATTTTAAATATTTATTTCACAAGACTTGCTCGACTATTGACATCAGATCTTAATACGAATACTCTCTCCCTCTCTCTCTTACATATATATCTATATAAAATCGATTTATCTAGAAATCAGCTTAACTGCTTTCTAACAATTAGAAAACAGTTGAAACCAACTAATTTCTTTTGCTCGCCGGTAACTTTTTTCAATAAGATGCTATTCCACCTATTAGGAACTCAATGGCATATTAGAACCATGCGAGAGAAAATTGAAAATATTTTGTGGATTTTTTTTTTGCTTTTCTTTAATGAGCCGCCTATCGATTTAAGTGGGTACGTGGTGTGCGTGTGAGTCATTGGTTTATGTTTGGCTGGCTAGTGCAATATAGTTAATCATCATTGCATGAGAGAAGTCAAGCAACATGCCAGCTATAATATATATATATATATATATATATATATATATATATATAGACAGTCGGCTATGGCTTTGGTTCCGGCACCACTCGAGCTTGGCTTTCCATGCTGCAGAGCGGTGCATGCAATTTCTGCATCAATTAAGCCTAGACTAAGCTCTGCAGGTGTGTCTATATGCACACACATACATATCTCTCTCTGTGTGTGTGTAATGCATCGCATAAGTAATTTTTATCGTTGTTTCCACCAAAATTGTTTAAAATTAATCCGCCTTTGAAATGGACGAAGACAGCGCCAGACAATAAAGCAACGGGCGCAGCAGCAGCAGCAGCAGCTGCTAAAAAAATAATAAAAACAACAAAAACAAAAAAACGGACAAAAAACAAAGAATTACCCCAGACCAGGTCCGAGCACTTGAGTCATACGCGGCTTGGATGAATGGCAACGGCGTCAACGTCGGTCTCTATGTATAAACTCGATACATGCAATGCGGGCGAGGAGCGTGGAGTGGGGCGGGGGGTGGGGGGGTGAGAGCATACCAGAACGAACGAAACGACATTGACCTTACACAGAGAGAGAGAGAGAGTGAGAGAGAGCAAGAGCGAGATAGAGCGAAAGAAAGCGGGCAAACTAAAGAGCAAGAGAGAGAGAGAGCGAGAGAGAGAGCGAGGGCGAACGTAGTGCGAGAGCAAACAGTTTTTGTCATTATTAGCAACACCCAGAAAATGTGTTGGCCCCTTTGTATTGGAGTACAGGTGTCCGGCCAAGAAATGGGGTACAACACAGGGGTTAAGGACAGCGCCTGTTTCCGTCTGTCCAGCATGGCCGGCATGTCTGGCTCATTAGCAGGCCAGCCAGCCAGTCGAGCGAGATGGCCATATACGTGTATCGAGTACATAGCATAGCCAGGTGTAATAACTGCATGCACGCAATATGCAAATGTGCAGAACGCCGGCAGCGGCAGCAGCAGCAGCTAGGGTCGCCCTTATCTACTGGCTAATGTATTAATTAATGAAATCAAGCCCAACCACAAAGCGTTGTTGTAAAAGTTGCAGCCCCAAAAATTTTCAGCGAGCGCTTAAAGCTCGCAAATAAAACAAAAAATATTCACAAAACAAAAAAAAAAAATGTATGCAGACAGCGACGCAACAACAACAACAACAACAAGAAAAAGAAGAAGAAGCAGCGCAAACGGCGGCAGACAACAAAGGTCAGCGCAGGTCACAATGAAAGGGCGTCGTCCTCTGCGTGCTAGTGCAGCGGGCGAGTAGTCGAGTAAGCGTTTGTAGCTAGTCGAGTAGTCGAGCATCGTATACCCGGTAAACGAGCTTTTCGCTAATTGCAGCCGGCGCAACAGCAACAACAATTAGTGCAACGTTAATTGACTAAGATTCTAAAGTTGTTAATTGTTTGCTGTGCAACTTATCTGGTTGCTGTTGCTGGGAAAAGTCAAACGTATTTATCAGTTGCAAGCTGCGTGTCTAGTCGAGACGACTGCATGCGCCTGTTGGTATGCAACATTGCGCAGTCCGGCCAGAAATGCGAATCAGCCATGGATCGATAAAGTCGTCTCGACGTTGCCTCTCACACCCACAAGCAGGCACACATACACACACGCCGACAGGACGAAGACCGACAGCGAGAGACAGCGCGAGAGTGAGAGAGTGAGAGAGAGAGAGAGAACGACGACCGCTGCTGACGACGTACGCAAAGAAATCAAAATGCTACCCAAAATGCGACTGCATATGTATGCGTGTACCGTATATTCAAGCTTGAGCAGAGCTTTGCCAGCATAAAACGGTACAGTGGGACGCACAGCTTATAAAGTGGAATACAGCTAAGACTTTTTCATAAATCGTATATTCGCATATCTTAGAATGACACTAAGACTGACAGCATTCACAAAATTTCTTTGATTCTTTTCTCATTAATTACAGTCCGTTGTATATTTTCTTGTCTTCGTAAACTTATTTGTCGCATAATATTTGAAATTCTTGAGTACCACTATAAATGATTTTTCTGACTTATGAAATGTATGTTTTATAAAGAATGTGCATTGAAAAACAAGGTGTAGGCATCTAAAACTAGATTATCTTAAATTATCTATTTTTTCTATTATCTATCATTTATTATTTACTATTATTTGTTATCCTCTAGCTGCATCTCAAGCTGTAATATTTGCGATCTAGCCTGTTCCAACTTATTTTTTAATTTCTTGATTTCGGCTTTGTAGTTTCTTTGGGCCAATTTAATGTTGACTTGTAAGCGAAAATTTTCCAAACGCAGATCTTTGCTGGAATTGAAGAAGATAGTTAATAGCTAAATATTATTATTTATATCATTAATTCAACTTACACTTGGTTACTTAGCTCATCGATGACAGCCTCTGAGCTTTCCGTATCCAATTTATCAAAATTTTTGTCTGGCTTCGGTTTTGCTGAGAGCAACGATTCTGACAATGCTTGAGTTTCGCAGTTAGTCTCCTGTATAACCTCATTGTCTTGCGGCTCAGATGTTGTTTCTGTGACCTTTGAACTGGCTAAAAGATCATTCTCTAAACGTTCGCTGCTGCATTGTTCCCTTGCTTTGATTCGTTCCTTAGATGGCACGCTATCTGATTTTCTGATGCATGGCATTGCACCTAGTCTAAGTCGCCGTCTGCACATTGCTTTATACATATATATTTTGGGTTTAGTAACTGTTCACTGTGCAATTAACTGTTAACCTTGCTTACAAACCTGTTCCGAGTGCGCCGCCGCCGCCTATGTCCTCGGGCCGAAAATGATCCGAGCAAACAAACGTACTTTTCCTGTTCTTCAGCTGCGGATTGTCGCAGAAAAGCAGCCATTTTTTGGCTATTTTGCTGCTCTTCGGTAATTGAAAGAAACTTACTGTTTTGCGATCGGTGGAACTGGTCGAATCGCAATTTCGCACAGAGCATTTCATTTTTGTTTACTGCAAAATACAAATTGGCGCACACATATGTTTGGTTTGTTGTGACGCCACAAATGTGTGCCTATCGATAAACTGTGCTGCCAACCGTGGCACGCATTATGTTATCGATATGCACACATATATCGCACAGCTGTGAGCGCAACAGATCATTCACCATTTGGTTTGTCCCATTGTACGCAATAACAACAACTCAGGCATAAGCTTTCGCACGCTGTTTGAACCAACCCGCTCGCTGCCCGCCCGCTCTTAAGGCGTCCGTCCGCCCTAAAACTCAACCAGTTGCAGTTGTGTCTGCTCTTGAGTGCGTCTAGCGTACGTATGAGTGTGTGTGTGTGTGCGCAACGCGTACTCTTGTGTATGTATTGTATGTCTGTGTTGTTGGCTTTTTTTCCCGAGCCTGCCTCAGTGGGTTTTGTATTGTGAGGGCATGCCGGGCTCGTCCTCGTTGATTTACTTGCTGCACCCATTGTTGCTGTTGTTGTTATCTAGACTCGAGAATTGTTGCTGCCAGACGACGGCGTCGATGACAGCGACGGTGACGCTGACGCTGACGTCGACGTCGAGCTTTGGGGGTTGAGCTTTTGGGTTGAATGCACGCCAGAACGTTGTTTAAATGCCCGCCGCTCGTCATTCATGTGGCCGGGCTGCCAACCGCCGCCGCCGTCGTCGTCGTCATTATTGTTGTTGTCGCTCCCCCACCCTCTTGGGACGAACACTTTGCGGAATCCTGTCTAGACACAACACACAACGCTGCGTTGGGTTCGTTTGGGGCCATGTGGGCGGGGCAAAGTTGGTCACCATAAATAATGCGCCGGAACTTGAAAGCTAGTTCCATCTATAGCATACTTATGGGCATGTGTTTAATGTGCTTTTACCAGGCTATCTGCTAACCCGCGTCGAGGGCAAAATTGGTTCGCCGGAGAAGCCGTTATCCGATCTGGGACTTATATCATATCGCTCCTACTGGAAGGATGTACTGCTCGACTATCTATGCAATCGCTCCGGCAATACGCTCTGCATCAAGGACGTATCTCAGGTGAATATTATATAAAATCACAAAACTGAAAGATCATGGTATCCATTGTGCTCCCACAGGAAATGGCCATTTATTCCTATGACATTGTGAGCACTCTGCAGGCGCTGGGCATGATGAAATACTGGAAGGGCAAGCATATAGTACTCAAAAAGCAGGTAAGTCCAAGGGGGAGGAGATCGTTTATTTCTATTGGGTCTGCTAACTAACTTGTATGCCATTTCTGTAGGATGTGCTGGATGAGTATGAGGAGCGCGTAAAGCGTCGCGGCACATTTCCCAAAATCGACGACTCCTGTCTGCGCTGGCAGCCCTTTATACCGGCACAGCCGAGCGCATCACCTTAGCCACGTGGTTGGAAGCACGCCCAGGTGTGCTTAATGGACTCTTCCTAATTTCCATAGAGACTTCATTTTATATATATTGTGTATAGCGCTTAAGACCTCACGTATTTCTTGGTAGCCAATTGATAATAGTGAAAATTCCACAATACCGATATTGATTCTGATTCTGACTTATATATATATATATATATATATTCGAGTTGAGACAACAAAAAAAAAAAAAAACCAGCCGCAGCCGTCTTGAGATTTGTTCTGCTTCTTCTTTGTTCACCACTGAGCTCATCACTTCAGGGGCCCCAAGATGAATCATGGAAGCGGGCAAGAAAAGCCAACGCGTTTACATGGACGCAGTTGTGTTGTGGACAGACGGGCGGGCCGGCGGTCGGTTGCGGTGCTGGGGCGGTTTGTGTAGCAACAGCGCATCGCAAAAAGTGCACACTGTGGCACTGAGGCAGAGGCAGGCAACTGGCGGCGGCAGCAGCAGCCGCAGCAGCAGCGCATTGACATTGCCGCCCAGACACTCCTCGGCAACGCCACACCAATACCAAAGCACAAAAAACAAAGCGTCAGACAGGTAGCGAGCAGCGAGCCGCGGACAGGGGCTGAAGAGACACAAAAACTGCACAAGCCGAGGGACGCAGCCGATGGCAGTCACTGCGACTGCACGCCACGTTTATGGCCAAAAAGCATATGCAGCAGCAACAGCAGCAGCAGCAGCGGCAGAGGCAGCGGCAGCGGCAGAGGCAGCGGCAGCGGCAGCGACGTCAGCAGCACGCGAAGCAGCCAGCCGGGCAGCGACAATTCCGCCCTACCAGACGCAGACATCAATCTGTCGCACAGTGGTACATGCAAGTCTCTGCAAGCAGGCAAAGCTTTTCAGTTGCAATGGCGCTTTAAAGCTTTTACAATGAGCATATTTACATTACTGATTGACGGAATGAATGATTGAAAAGGTTGTATGCAAGCTTTAGTGAGTCAGATTGACATTTATTTTCAATGATTTTAATTAAACATGAATGAATTTGCAAAATGCAAGCCAACTGGGGAACACAAAAATGGATCTTAAATGTTATGAAATACAGTTAAGCCTCCAAAGCACACTGAACCAAAAAATACATGTGATTATTTGTTTTTTTTTTTTTTTTTAATCTGTCCGAATTTATTTTAGAAATCCAGATAAAATACTTGCTTGCATTTATATTGACTCATTAGAGCATTGCTTAATTCGTGAAATGCAAATAATAACTGGCGATTAAGCAACCCATCATATAACGCTGTATATTATATAATTTATCTGCTGCTTTTCAGGTTTGTGTACTGATAAAGAAAAATAAAATAAAAATGACTAACTTCTAGAGTGTGAAAACAGTGTAACTTACTGTAGGACAAGTACCGTTAAGTACATATGGCGCTTGTGAGCTAATGAGCATGGGCTGCATTTTGACGATTATATCTGAATGTTTATATTAAACATCTGTTTGTAAATTAAGATAGGCAATATAGAATCGCCGCTCACAGTTGTTATTGCAAATGTTTATATTAAGATATATGAACACATGTATGGAAATGTCAATAAGAGAGTCGTATATAATGGGGAAAAAGTTCAACAACAAAATAACAGGATTGCAAAAATTACAGTGCTGGTTACATATAATTAATTGGAAAGCTTTTTGTTAAAGCTTCACTTGTTTTGTTAACAACAATAATGGTAAAAGTTTAACGATAGAATTTAAGGGAAGATAATCAATTTATGATTTCATCGAAACTAAAAACATTCTTATAGGGCCCACTGTGCGTGCTTTTTGTTGCAGTCAGTTGGCTGGTGGTGCCTGCCAGTTTTATAACAAAGGAACCCGTGAGTGAGAACTGGGCAAAAAGTACATGCAATGTATGCGTGTGCATATGTATTGGTGAGCGGAAAGCGCGGTGTAGGAAGCAGGAAGCGAAAGAAACAGCAACACATACGGCTGCTGCTTTCGTATGTTTGTGTATGTGTGTGTGTGTGTGTGTGTTGCAGACACATAGACAGCTGACGACGCTGGCAGAGGCAGCGGCAGCGACAGCAGCGTCGACTTTGTGGCAGTGCGAAATAAAATTCGCGCATTCGGCTTTTGATTAAGCAGCAACATTGAGCATTTGATCACCAACAGCCGGCGTGCGCGGTTCGCTTCGCTTTGCTCAATCGACAGAGAGCTGGCAAAATAGCAAGTAGCAAAAGGCAAAGTCAAAATCAGAACCAAACCAAATAAAATAAAAGGCCACGGCGTTTCTAGGCGGCCGCACAGTCGGCCATTTGCACATCAAGTGGCCGATTGTGTCTCTCTGTATATTCATATATACATATATATATAAATACGTATATGTGTATATATATATGTGTGTGTGTATGTTCTGTGCTTGTGTGCAATGAGCAACGGACAGCTAAAAAGAAAATGAAGTTAAACTTTGCAGCGCGCGTGTGTGTGAACAATTAAAGCAACAAAGAAGAGAAAAAAAGCTCAGCCAGCCAATGCGACGCAGGCCAAGTGCAACGGAAGTTTAGTGTGAACGAAATATAAGACCAGAAAAGTTAAAAAGGAGAAATGTATAAAAAGAAAAAAAAAATACGGACACAGAACATATTGTGAAATTCAATGCTTGTTCTCGAACAGGCGGGCGGGAGGCGGCTTCATTGACGCGTAATTGTTTCTGGGTTTTTCTGCCATTTGAACGGAATTAACGCGCTGGTCAAAAGCGGACCAAATGCTCGTTAAAATGAAGACTTGAAAAAATTCTAGTTGAGGTTGGGTTTATTTTTAGCGTTTTGATATCACAAGGCACCACCAGCAGCAGCAGCAGCAACAACAACAAAAACGACAACGACACAACAACAAATTTTTTGGTACGCACACAGAAACGAAACACTCACGCAAAAAGGCAAAGAGACAACAACTACAATTCTTGCCGTCGGCGGCGAAAGAGTGACGCAAATAGCAGCGAAAATGTTTGAAGCGACGACCACATGATTCTACACATTGTAGATTCTACATATTTCCAAATTTCTTTTGCCCACACACAAACGCACGCACACCGAGACCAAAATCTATACTAACACAAACAGCCGTAGAACTTTTTGTCGCTCAAATATTAATTTTAGACAAAAATGTTGCCCAGACCCGCGGCGACGTTACACTCGCATGCACACACACACACACACACAAACAATTTCGGCAAATTTGCATGTGTGTGTCTGATCGGACTTGCGAAACTTTTTTGATAGCAAGCTCCAACTCAGGGTTAAGGGCGTACTCAGTTGAAAAGCATGTGCTTGCATTTTGCAGCACACATCGAGAAAATGAGAGAGACGGAGCGAGTGAAAGAGAGGGAGAGTGTGAGAGAGAGAGAGAGAGAGAGGAGCAGGCAGCACCCACACTCAGACAGATAGACATGCACTCGGCTGTCGTCGGCGCATTGTTACTATTTGAGGTTAGGAATGCCCCACCCAAGCAAGGCACACATACAGATTGGCATATAAAGCAGTCATGTCTGCCAGCCTGCTGTTCATTATGTATATATAATGTATATGTATGTATATCTATACGAACATATGTAGATACATACATATGGCAGCCCCGACGTCGTCGCCATTTCTATATACATACATATACAATTAAATGCCTCACACACACAAACACATATACTACTCGGCTGGGCACGACAAAACGACATTCGAACAAAATTTGCAATTATTCACAACGCGCGGCAGTCAAAAGCTGCTCGCGATCGCGGCAGCAGCCGCCGTGACACATCACACATACACACACACGCACACAGGCACGCACAGGCACAACATACATACATATATAGAGACTTGAGCGGCAGCAAGTCCAAGTTCATTATACCACAATCTGCGCGAGAGGCTTAAAGTTTATGAGCCGTTGTAAAATACAAAAGTGTAGCTGATGGCAATTCATTTAATTCCTTTTTGGCGAATAGCGTGCAAAAGACAAGGCGCAGAGAAAGAGAGAGAGAGAGAGAGACAGGCACGAGCAAGAGGCGAAATACTTTGAACGCGTTTGCAAATTCGATTTTATGCCCTCTGTCTCTGCAGTAGTAAGCTGCGTGTTGGTGTCTGTGCATATACATGCATATGTACGAGAGAATTCGCGAATGTAGTGGGGCACGTGTGTGTCTCGGCTGCGCTACAAAACTTGCTAGCCTGGTATATGTGTGTGTGTATGCGAGAGTGTTTGTCGGCGATCACGCACGTAGCGTTGCTGCGCTTAGTAACAGAGAGAGCGAGAGAGCATCGAACGAAACGCCGGTTCTTTTTCTCGTTTCTCTTTCTATATTGGATTTTTTTCATTTCAGCTTTCTTGGCTTTTTCTTTACAGCGTTTCAAATATAGAATATCAAGGGTCCCTGGCTGCAAATATGACTGCGACTAACTGTTGCTGCAAACAACTAAAAGAAATGTAAAATTTCGCATTTGGCCAATGATGACGTCACATCCGATTCGCTGGAGTGTGGACTATGTAGCCATTAGAGCACGTATGTATGTGTTTGTGCGTACGTATGGCCTGGCAGAACGAGGTGCGCAATGAAAAACATATGACTAATTTAGCATTGTTATTGCATAAATCTGCGTCAAGCAGCAAATTTCTCACAGGCAGGCTGCTGTAAGAAACGACGAGGTTAAAGCGACGTCTGCGACAAAGCTTCAGCTCAAAAAGCTTACACATAATGGGCTGTATATATGTGTGTGTGCACATATACGTTTCAGCTTTTATGGGTGTGAGTTTGAAATGAAGTCATCGGCGTCGTCGCATTAACACAAACACATACAGAGATCGTTAACCTTAAAGCTCAGCATGGACACAGCGCGCAAGGTCGTTTCCTGCGCGACTTTAGGAGTCGTAGCAGTGGCAGCGTCAGCAGCAACAACAGCAGCAGCAGCAGCAGCAGCAAAAGAAGTTACTTCGGACCAGTTGGCAACATCTGTTGGGCTTATCTTGGTCTGCTCTCTCCCCTAACTCGCTGCGCCGTCTTTTACCGTGCGCGCTAATCAGTGACCGGGGCTGGTTTTGGTTATCCCACAGTCAGGTACCTGAAGTAGCGCGCGTGGTGGCCAGACGTATTCATCTTAAGCTTACCATGCCTCCCTCAGATGGCAAACGTTTCATGTCTCCCATGTCTATTGTACTTCATCAGGTGCTCTGGTGTGACTTGTAACCCGGCACATGTTGAAGTACACTCAATATGCGTTGATTTGCATTTGCTGTTTGGGTTAATAAAGTTCATCAAATATTATGTATAATTAAAAGTTCAAAATAAATATTGTTAAATGCGCAAATCTACTTCTTATCATTGCAATATTTGGCTTAGCTTAATGCTGAGCGCCACTTGCTGTGGACAGGTGGCAACGCCGCTATATGCAAATGTCTTATTTTTGACTTTTGACAACTTTTTCTTTTTGTACATAGGGCCACATTTGCGTCAAATGAACATCTGTTTATATATATATATATATTTTGACAATAAAAACATAATATATCACAATATAAACAACAATAACTTTATGTTTGTCAAAATGAACTAGAGAAGTGAGTTGTCGTTGCAAGAACCTTGTTTCCACTGTAAGCATTTTTTTGAACTTGTCCAACAGATGCATATCAGCATGAGAGATTATTTTGCAAGTAAATTGATGGGCTTGAATAAGAATTGCTTTAGCAATGCAATTCTATGGGCCTAATACAACATAAGGTGTGCATTGCTAATTTTCTTTTAAATTTAATAAAATCGTTTGGATTCTAAGTATTATTTTTAGGAATTAATCGATAGTTGCTCTTGCCATATCTAACAACATGTTAAGTTCTCTCTGTGGAGCAAACATGTTAAGTGTGGAGCAGCGACGAGAGTTGCTTCACAAATTTAGAATAGTGCGGAGCATTTCTGTCAAACAATAATTGGCGAACTGTAATGTTAGCTGGGGAGCAAGCAGGGCTGCGTAAAAATAAATAAACAGAGTCGTCGTAGCAAGTTGTGACCTAGTGGCGTTCAATAAGGTCGGCTGCTGGCAAACCCTTGGTTTAAATTTTTCGACTCCGAATTCGATACTTTATATTCCTCTAAATTACTAAAACGTGTAGTCTACTACTCAATTTAATACAAATATATCAATAACATTATCGCGTCTCAGCTAAACGAACAGTAACAGACGTCGACCACAGACAAACAAGGACAATGTTACGCTCAATCGCTGCGAAACGAAATGAATTGGGCGCACTACGCGCCGTCTTTCTCAGAGCACAGGCGGTGCGACGTGGAGCCAACTGCGGAGTCCGAGCCTTGAGCAGCACACGCAACCATTTGGCAAACAGGTAAAAGGCTGCACAGCTAGCTGCGACCGCTCGCGTTGAGGTTAGAAACTGTGTTGTGTAATATTGCAAATGCGAGGCTGCAGCGCATAGCCCGCCCAGTGGGTGGGCGGCTTGCTAGGCCGGCGGGCAGCGGGTGCCAATATGCACTTGTGTGTGTGTGTGCCTGTCTGTCTGTCTGTGCCTCTGTGTGTGTGTGTGTGTGTGTGCGTGTGTGCGTGCGTCCAGTGCGTGACTGTCAAATGAGCGTCGCATGTTACCGTTGGTTAATCGCCACTGATAAGCGAATTTTCAAACAAAATTCTGATTGGCATACGCCAATTGCAATTGTTTACATTTTGTTTGCGTGTTATCGATAACAGGCATCAGCTGATGTTAGCGCCTGTCAATCGCAGTCGATCGAAATGATTAGCCTAATCTGTGTTCAATTGCAGGTTAACACCAAATGGCAAGCCGATTCTCAGCCGACCCCAAACACTGTCGCCATGGAGCTACAATTTTGCCCGTGCCTACGCCAACTTGCCGGAGCATATACGCGTGGCGCTGCCTGCCCTGTCGCCCACCATGGATCGCGGCTCGATTGTGGGCTGGGAGAAGAAGGAGGGCGATAAGCTAAATGAAGGTAAGTTTTCCATTTGCCTTTTGGTCAGGTTGTTTAAAATGGTATAACTATTCTTTTGCAGGCGATTTGCTATGCGAAATCGAAACGGACAAGGCCACGATGGGTTTTGAGACGCCCGAGGAGGGTTATCTGGCCAAGATTTTAGTGCCCGGCGGTTCCAAGGATGTGCCCGTTGGCAAGCTGGTGTGCATCATTGTGCCCGATCAGGCCAGCATTGCGGCCTTTAAGGATTTCGTTGACGATGCTCCCGCTGCAGCACCGGCTGCGGCTGCGGCAGCGCCTTCACCACCTCCGCCAGCAGCTGCACCAGCTCCAGCACCCGCTGCCGCTGCCGCTGCCGCTCCTGCACCAGCGCCAGCAGCACCCGCGCCAAGTCCAGCTGCCGCACCAGGTACCGCTTCCGCGCCAAGCGGCGGTCGTGTCTATGCAAGTCCCATGGCCAAGAAATTAGCCGAAACTCAAAAGCTGCGTTTACAAGGTTGTTATCACAAATCCCATATCCCGCTGTGTGCATGCACCGCATCTCCACTAATTCAAACACTGCTCGAACTGTTCGTTACTAATCCTGGCCTTTTGTGCAGGCAAAGGTTCCGGCGTCCATGGCTCACTTAAATCTGGTGATCTTGCAGCCTCGCAACCAGCGCAGAAGTCAGCTGCCAAGGCGGCCGGCGCAGCGCCCGGTGCCCGCTTCAAGGACATCCCAGTGACCAACATGCGCGCAGTCATTGCCAAACGCCTGCTGGAGTCCAAGCAGAAGCTGCCACACTACTATGTCACCGTCGAGTGCCAGGTGGACAAGGTAAGTCCAAAAAAAAAGCACGCAATTATGATAGATGTGCTAATAGAATGTTCAAAAATATTGCGAAAACAAACTAAGATTAGTTAGTGAGAAAACATTCACCATGAAATACATTTATAAATTGAGAGCATAGATAGTATATAGAAAACTCATTGAATCGAAAGTTAACAATTTTGATTTTCTCATTTGCAGCTATTGAAGTTGCGCGCCCAAGTGAACAAAAAGTACGAGAAGCAGGGCGCACGCGTTTCCGTCAACGATTTCATCATCAAGGCTGTGGGCGTGGCCAGTCGCAAGGTGCCCGAAGCCAATTCGGCGTGGATGGACACATTCATTAGGGAATACGACGATGTGGATGTGTCTGTCGCTGTCTCCACAGAAAAGGGGCTCATTACGCCCATTATCTTCGGAGCCGACCGAAAGGGTGTGCTGGAAATCTCGAAGAACGTAAAGGAGCTGGCGGGCAAGGCGCGCGAAAATAAGCTGCAGCCACATGAATTCCAGGGCGGCACCATATCCGTGTCCAATTTGGGCATGTTCGGTAAGTACATAATAAGCATATTGCATAGCATTTCGTTGAATCTTCTTAATTCTTGCAGGTGTCAATCAGTTCTGCGCCGTTATCAATCCACCGCAATCCTGCATCTTGGCCATTGGCACAACAACGAAAAAACTCGTTTTGGATCCGGATAGCGATAAGGGGTAGTGCAACTATATAAATTAATCATTTGTTCGACTCTAATCTTGTGCTTTTCTTATGCTACAAATCTAGATTCAAGGAAGTTAATATGCTAACCGTAACGCTGAGTGCCGATCACAGAGTGGTCGATGGCGCTGTGGCTGCCGTTTGGCTTAAACATTTCCGCGACTACATGGAGGATCCACAAACTATGATACTGTAAATTACGACAGAGTCCGCATCGGCTGGCCAGAGAAATTTGTAAATTCAGAACGAAGATGATGTTAACGTATACAAAACTGGCTGCTGGATACTTTCGGTGTTATTCTTATATATATTTATTTATATATATATATATAAACATTGTATATTGTTCAATTGGTTTGCTGCCCACGACCTGCGTTTGTGTGTCTTGGCCTCAGTACGGCACCCACTCAACTTTTAGCGCTTATATATTTAATTGTGTTAAACCGACGTAGTTTTTAGCTGGATGATAATCGATATGATTTTACTCAAACACACAAACCTAAATTGAACATTGTAAATTTTCGTTAAATATGCATATTATCAACATAATTTTATGCCATAACTCATTTGTTGATCATAAATAATAACATTGGAATTGGTCCGAAGTCGTTCAATAAACAAAGCACATGTATGTAGTATCCTATTCTATAATAACAATTAGCTTAAACTCGAATTGACGAATTCGTGATATTCAATTTGTCGGCTGCGTGGGAAGCTCTTGATATGATTGTATGATTTTCTTTTATCCTGCCTCAATCTACCTTTATCCCCATATGCATAATATAACTTGATTTTTGATAATTTAAAAGAAATATTTTTATATTGATCCTCCTTCGATTATCTCGTGTAAAGCAAGAGAAACTTTACTGTAGATAATATTAATTTAATCGTTTGTTAAATATGTTAATTAATTTGGGAACTGAGGAGGGAAAAACTCACTAATTTGATGATGCGCTTAAAAGATCTGAAATATCCCAATATATTAGCGAGCTATTAAAAACAACAGAAACAATAGTTTAATAAATATATAAGTGTACATAAATCAAATCGAAGGAAATTTATTGGCTCAAAATTATATTCGTTTTATATTTACTTTTCGACTGAAATATAAGTGTAAAACTTCATTTAGAAAGCGATTCCATATAAATGGGAATGAGGCTTCATGTGAAAATTTTAGAAAATGTTTTACTAGAGCTTCGAGTGTAAAATAGAATATATGTCTAGACTATTATGATGAGGTCTATCAGCGATTCGTATACCCTTTATATGTTAAAGCTCTCTTCCTTTGCTTCCTTTGATTTTGATTTTATTTTGCTTAAAGATATTTTCGAGTCCTCTCTTATGAATTTTGAAAACGTGCCTGTTTCTCAATTGAAGAACAAGCATATCGAGCGTATTCTTGCCAGAATGAGGCTCATATAAAGAAAGTCGCTGGTTCGACTCGCCTGTTGTAGCAACCTCCTGCCATGATATTCGATCAGCCCCGGTTTTAGCTCAAAACTTGTTTGTCTTCTGTATTTAGTGCCCGTTCTACTGAAAATATTGCCTAACGTATATATTTTCATAACGAACTTGCGGGCTAAATTTGACTTCTACCTCAAATTGGCAAATATGCTTAGATAAGCTCCATGTTTGAAGCTCTAGTATTAAATGCTTTGAGGCAGAGTCTTCCGTTAAATGTTTTTTTTTTTCTAATTTCGAAAAACAAAAACCCGTTTTGTGCCGCTTTAGTCAATTGGTTTGAGCCAAAGTTTGAACTCTGATTCGTTTGGGTGCCTTCGATTTATTCCATTTATGCCGCATTTTCTGAGTTCAGTTTTAATTGAAAGTCTCTGATTATT